GGCTGTTCTGGCCCAGCGGCTGCTGGGTATGAGCTGTCTCTTATACACATCTAGATGTGTATAAGAGACAGCACACACACACACACACACACACACACACACACACACACACACACACAGAGGCTATGCATGCGTTGTTGCATGATGTGCACGAGTGTGCATATCTCAACTACCGACTAAATCAAAATTTGTGTCCGGCTGTGTATTTGTGTGCTGCTACAAGGTTCAATTTCAATGGTCCTGAACACTACCTCTTCATCAAGATCAGGGGTTTCCCCCCACAACTAACTTCTACACACAGCTGAGTGAGAAGTGGCCGAAACGTCTCTTCTCCACGGACTGTGCACCTGCATTCCCCACCACTGTCCCAACTGCCACATGGCACATACATTATAGCTGTGTGTACGTACGTGTGAGTCCGCTCCCTGCATCTGCACATTCTGCACACGTGTGCACACATATGCACTCCCTGGATGATATACACACCAAAGCTCTCTTTCATTTTTTCAGCAAGAGCCGCTTTCCTCCCATTGCTCTGCGGCTTCTACACGAGCCTGTCAATTACCAAAAGCAAAAACAAAGGGGGGGGGGGGAAGCATGGCCTTATGTTCATGACCTTACAAGCTTGTATAGGACACTCCGCAGCTCCTGCTCATGCTTTCTGTTACTCCTGCATATGGAATCAATCAGATTCTCCAAGGCATTGATACCTTCCCTACCTCTGTTATTTTCTCCACACTCGGGCTGAGAACCGGCTGCTGTGTTTCGCACATGTTCTCTGCTTCCCAATGAGCTCCCCCCACCCATACTCCGAGTTCCGTCTGCATGTGCAACAGCGCCAACAATGTCCTCCGCATCTGTTCCCTGGCTATCATCAGGAGGCATCATGATGCCCGACGCCCTGCCCAATCTGAACCCATCTGCATCCTTTTCAGAGGCGGGCGGAGAGGACGCATCGCTCGGACTTGCATAGCAGTGACTTGCACGGCATTGACTTCCTGAGCACCTTGGCTCCTTGTGATCTAGCCCCAACTCCACAGCAGGCTCCGCCTCCACCCCACCCGCATTCAGCGGATTTGCACAAAGCGGCATGCCTTCATTGGCAGATGCATCAGAGAAGTCAGCCAGCTGGTCTTCTTCCGCCTCCGGAGCACTTTGCTTCTCCGCTTCTGCATTGCCGTCAGCTATCATCTGCAATGACGGCGTGCAGCTCTCGCTGATGGTCCCCACAGCAGCATCTGCGCTGCAATCTCTGCGCAGCTCAACCACCCGAGCTCGTGGTGCAGCAACTGCAGCCAGTAATCGCTCCAGTTTCCTTTTTGTGAATGTCAGTCCTCCAAACGTCAGTGTGACTCCCTCTTCCTCCTCCTCTTGTTCCTCTGATCGAGCATCATGCGCTTCCCCCTCCGAGCTCTCACAAGGTACACTCTCTGCAGCACCCTCATAACCCCCTGCCTTCTCACCCTTTTCTTGACCAGACCTCTTCTCCTCACCCCCCCCTCCTCGTCTCTCATTCTCGAGAACAGACAGGCGCTCCATAACCTGCCCAGGCTGTTCAATTCCAGATCCATCTTCAGCTGTGTCTTCCTTCTCCCCTCCTCCTTTGCTTGCATGTCCTGATCCCCCTTTCACCACACCACAACCACCAAAATCTGCAGAAAGCGACCTTGCCAGCGCCCGGCGACTTCTCCCGACACCATCGCAGTCACCACTCACCTTCGTCCTCCTTCCCACCTCCTCGGCATCAGCAATACTCTCTCTGTGAGTCAAAAAGTCGACGTCCTCAATGTGCTGAGCGTCACCTCTGTCGCCCATGCGCGCGTGAGCACCCATTCGCGATGTTCGTGGCGCACTAGCCATGGGATCAAACCCTGAAGAAGAGTAGCATGACGATCGGCGACTAATGGATAGTCGACATGGTAGGGGATTCCGCTCAGGCACTGAGCTTGACAATATGGAAGGCCGAGGCGGCTTGGTACCAGATGTCGTCGCATGCCCCGCTGGTTTCTCTGAATGGGAAACGTGACGGGCCCTTGAAGCAAGCGGCGAGAGCAATGCACGCCCCTTCGTGCTTTTGGATTCTGATTTGCCATTCGTACGGAACGTTTCAACCTTTGCCTTTGTCTGTTTCAGGCTACGTCTAGCGGGCGACGCAATCTCTGCTGGTTCACTCGGCAAGCGAACTCTCGAGGCTGACAAATTCAACGCCTTGATTCTCTCTGAAAGCTCCTTCTGATCATCCGCCGCACCTGGAGACCGAACGGGACTGCTAAACAAAGAACAGGCGCGTATCATCTCCATTTTGTACTCGGCGGGCTGCCAGCTGGCAGCCCCGCCGATCGCCACACAAGATGCTTTCATTCCAGCAACGTCATAGCGTTCCGCCGACAGTCGAAAACCAGAACCAGAACCAGAGAGCGAGCACCGTACCCTCCCATCGGAGTTCATCTCGGATTCGGTTCGGCACCTTAGCGGGGTATACGCCGATGCTGTCGGTGCGTTCAAGTCTACAACAGCACCTTCTAGTACCTCCCGCGTCTTGCTTATGGTCATCCTACCAGGAGGAGACAGGACAGAGGTCTCTGTCAAGCAGCCACGACTGTGAGGCGTTGACTTGGCAGCAATGCGCGGACAAACCGTCACACCGGAACCCTGCTGTTGTGTGCATGACGGCGACTCGGAAACGAAGACATTCTTCCTGGCTATGGATGATGAAGGGGTCACGACAGGAGGCGGTGGCTTCCCACCAATACCCCGACTAGGAGTCAGGCATTCAGACGAAATCAACGGATCAGATGACAACAATGTTAATCGCCATGCATTGCCCCCCAACGAAGCATTCCTAACAATAGGAGTTCCCGCCAGTCGCTTCTGCACCTGAAGTGTCGAGTTGGGCGCATCGTTGAAATTAGTATCTGGGGCGAAGGACACACGTCGAGGATTTAACTTCACACGATCTTCGTCGGATTGCCCTTTTGCACTCTGGATGGACATCCTTGCAGGCGTTGCCGCAGTCACAACAGGCTCAGCGGGTCGTCGCTCCGCCTGCTGACCTGTCCGGGGGTGGAACTCGGTGTCGAAGGTGACACTTGGGGCAAAGGAAACACGCCGTGGACCTCGCGGAGTCGACTGTTCGCGATCAAGACTGGACCGGACCTTGGCACCCAGGATCGACATACCTGCAGCTGCCGAGGCTTCTTTCTGATGTTCACGACATTGTACAAGCACACGGTGAGGGGTCATATCAGGACGGAGGGGGCGGGGCTGCTCCATGGGTTGCCGAGTACACTGACTCTCTTCTTATGACAACTTGCAAATGTTCAAGTCCCGTGCCGCCAAACACCACCGTTAAGCACCACCATTAAGCAGAGCACTCGCCGTGAAGACCTACCATTACGTAGAACAACCAGTAAGCACCGAAGTCGATCGCTCCCGCTGATCCGTCCAACACCGTAGGCAAGTCAAATTGCAGGCACTGTAATTCAAGGCCAGGTCAACCAATGTTGACTTTGCTGTGTCAACGACTACAAACAGCCAGCGACTGGTTTGACGGGTTCGGACTCTTCAATGGCCCTGTGGGCAAGGACAGGACACACAAAATCCCAACCCCAGTACCATCAGCAGCAAGTCAAGTGGTAGGTAGTGTAATACAATTCCAAGTCGACAAAAGGTGACTTTGCTGGGTCAAAGGCAATAAAAATTCCAACCCCAGTACCGCCAGCAGCACCCATAATCTCCCAAAAGGGGGAAAAAAGGAAACACCACAACTTAGTAAAAGGTACAGCCTGTCCTTCGGGACATCCGTAAAAACTGGAGTGATACAGAGAAAGAAGATTAGCATGGCCCCTGCACAAAAAGGATGACAACACAAAAACACAAGAAATGGTCCCAAAAAAAGAGTAAAAGGTACCGCCTTTGCACAGAGGCACATCATCGGCAACGGACGCAAGCATAACACTATCTCCTTCACAAAATAGTACCCTTTATTTACCACCAGCTATATAAGAGGGTGTATCTGCCCTGTCACCACACAATGCTTCACTTTTTTTTTTTTTTTTTTTTTTTTTTAATATGCATCAGGGACAGGCAACTGCTGGTCAGACTGTACGAGCGCCTGTCCAGTCGGAGCCTGCCCATTTAGATGGCTCCATTACTGATACACAAGTCAATAGTTTGAACTTTGAATCAATAGCAATAGCAGACCTCCTGAAGTCAATGAAAGCACAAGTTGGTCTCTGCACATTGGGGGTGAACGGTGTACACTGCTATACAGTGTACACACGCGTAGCACTCTTTTTTTTTTTTTGAGCGTCAGTTGACTGTCAACAACCCTGTGAGGTGTGATAAGAGCACCTCCAAGGGCTGGAGATCACCTATTTTTTTTTAAATAAAAACTGCAAGGGTCCTGAAACCTGTTGGACARAAAAATACTATAAAAAAAAAAAAAAAAAAAAAAAAAGCCATTCCAGCATTTCCATTATATCTCAGCTTTATAGACAGTAGCTTTTTCTTTTTTTTTTCTTTTTTTTTTAATTACTCCATTCTATTGGTGGGGAGCTGCACCTGCTGGAAAGCGGGTCCAGCGTCCTTTATATCATGAGTGTACATCAAAGTAGCTTTTTCACTTGTTTATTTGCTTGTGTAACTTTATTTGTCAGGTTTTTTTTCTCCCCCCCCTCTCAAAATTCAACTTCCATGCAATATTTCTTTTTGTTTTCCAGACACTTGACTCTTTTTACTTTTTTTTCGCCCCCCAGAGAGGTCCACAGTGTGGTAGAGGGTGGTGGTCAGGCCTCAGGAGGTGCCCGTAGTACTCATCCATTGGGAGGGGTCCGATGGATTGCGGGGACCACCACGGGCACCTCCTGAGGCCTGGCCACCACCCTGTCTACCACATTGGCAGAGTAGCCTCGGGACGGCACCATGATGGTACCATGACCCATATGCCAATGCTCAGATCGCAAGTCATGATTTGCGCCAACGCTTACGTACCTGACTAACCCGAACGTCTTCGTGCAGGCGCTACCCTCCCATAACTCTAAGGTTAAGGACGACCCGGGTACAGGTGGGGTCCATGCATTTGCAGTCATCGCCCATCGGTGTGCTTCAATCCCGCAGACTCTATAGGCAGCGAACCGCCCTTCCACTAAGGGTGCGGCTCCCCACCAATAGATTGGAGCAACCAGGAAACCTGCTGGGGGGGGATGCTCATATCACCTCTTCGAGCAGATTTCCCGTTTAAGGAAAAAAAAAAAAAAAAAAAGATATCTCGCCCTCCCCTATCCTAAGCATGATGCCTTTCCTAACCCAAGGCTCCCCAAAAATCCATCATCCCAACTAATTCCCCCAGTGAGAATCCCCACGGGCCCCAGCCCGGATGAAGCACCCCACCCACAGGCATCGTGAGATACCTGTGGGATGAGAAGTACCCAGTACGTACCCCATACTAATACCCAGTGTGTGCCTAGGATTATACCCCGCGAGATGGGCCCTACCATAGTCTAAGTTCGCTCTGTGTGGACTCTCGTACGGGTGCCATGGTGATGGGAAACATACTGGCTGTACCCAGGCTCGACCATGGCACCCTCACGAACTAGTACATACTGACGAGACTGACAGATCTGAGGGTCCAAGTGACCTTTGGTTATCGACAGTCCAGGCAGTAAACCCTCCCTTTAATCTACCTATCCCTTCCCCCTCCTCCCCTCCGGCCCATAGTGGAGCCAAGATAAGACCCTGATTCTCAGACCCCCTAAGACCAACCACTCAAGCAGCCCTCCCTATGGCTCTATCCAACATCCTACACCCGTGGACCTAGACCCCTTGGGCAAGATAAGACCCTGATTCTCAGACCCCCAAAGACCACCTATGGCCCTGTCCAGCATCCTACACCCATGGACCTAGACCCCTTGGGCGGTGTGCAGGCAGTGTCCATAAATCTTCCCATGCGTCGTCCCAAGGACTGTGTGTGAATGGCTTTTGCGTTATGAAAGCCCTTCCCGTGTACGTGCGCGAGGCAACGGAGTTTTGCGCCCGCAACCTCATACCACAATGTGCATTTCCAACCGGTGCTCTAACCACACTTAGCCAATGGCCATCCACGACACACTTTCCACACACTTTTTTTATTTATTTATTTTTTTTGGAAAAGAAGACATCATAGTCCCAGACCTCCACAACTTCGGACAGAGCTGCAGATGATGGATAGAAGGTTCAAATGCAAGGATCCTGTCCTTTCGTCACTTGCTTGAGTGTACCAGATAGCATGCACGTAACACAGATCACACGGATTGCAATGACTCACACGAGATTCAATGGAAGACGAGTGGAAACCAGGAAGCACAACTCAATTATCATGACCAGATTAGAGAAAGAGAGTCACGAGTTCAAAATGTATAGCGCCCAACAGAATTACAAGTCTTCTTCATCCGACAAGAGTTCAGTTCCAGGCCTGGCGCTCATCAGCACCAGCAGCCAATCATCAAGAACGGCGCTCCACAAGTAAGTCTCGCCATAGCTCACTTCTCTCTCTTCTCTGTCTATAGTCCTGGTCTACTCACACTCATCATGCATGCACACTCCCTAACACACGAGGATCCACTCTGAATACTACTCGCCGGCCTTCTCTACTAGCTATCACTTCTACTAACACTAACTAGCACTGGTGCAGCTATGGCTGCCTTCCTTCCAGCCAGCGCCCAACTCTCTCTTCCTTCAGCGCAGCTCTCAAGCCTAGCGCTGCTCAATCACATCTGGCGCACAAGTGCCTTCAGCACTCCCACACTCTCATGCGAATGAGTATCTGTGTAATGGGGGGGCTGGCCAGTCCTTTATAGCACTGGACTGGTCTGGCGAGGTCTGCTTTTGGCCTCCAAGTGCCTGGGACTCCTGCCCAGTACCTGTTGTTGCAAAGTGTGTGTCCCAGTACCCTTTCCCATGGTCTGCTGCTGCTTTGGCCATCGGGCCTGTCTTTTGGACTCCTGGTCTGAGTCGGCCTGTCTTTTGGACTCCTGGTCTGAGTCGGCCTGTCTTTTGGACTCCTGGTCTGAGTCGGCCTGTCGTTTGGACTCCTGGTCTGAGTCACAATTGACTATTGGGGCTGTGACTGGTCTGGGACTGTGACCTTTGACTTACTGCCGAACAGACATGACCCTATCGCAGTCTTAAGATTTGAACCCAGTACCTGTTCGTCTAGGACCTGACTATGGCTATTCAAAACGACTTTTCATCTCACACTGGATGCGACATTTGCCTCAGGGAACTTGTCTTTTGGAATGCTGCTCGTGAAATTGATTTCTGGCCTAGAGGGCCCTTTAATGTTGGGGTCACATTTACGAGTCTGAATCGTAAAGGCCCTTTTACAAAGAACCTTCCATCTTATAAACAAAGGGGGAAGCATGCATGGGCACACTTCTAGTGGTGTGTGTGGGTGAAGTGAACCAAGTTGAAGATCTAATTTAGTCAGAGTGGGCATGGTAGGGTTAAAGAGGGTACCCCTAAAAAAAAGAAAATAATTACAGAGGGTACCATATGCAGGTCTGCTACCCTACTTACACAACCCCCATTGAGGTATCTATCCACTGTTAACACTCTGTGCCTGGCTGTACTGGTTAAGATACTTGACTCTTGTGGCCATGGGCGCCGGTTTCGAATCAGTGCCTGCACGGAGGAGATCTCTGGGCCCCCATGTACGAATCCATAACTACTCATTACCGTACCTAGAAACATTGGGCTATTAGATATCAAAAAAAAAAACAAAAACAAACAAACAAACAAACAAACAAACAAACAAACAGTTAGATCACCATTAAACCACCGGTACCTTTCCTCGCTTGTCAAACAAATACGCAGCTCGTATACGGCCACAACTTTTGGCGGTCGGGGCACCGGACCAAAATGGCTGGCAGTTCATTTTCCGGGGTGCGCAGTGCATTTTGAGGCTTGGCTGCAATAGCTGGGCCAGGTACTGGTGGTTTAAAAACAATATTATACAACTCTCAGGGTAAAAATTCAGGTCCGATAACCACAGCTACACGCATTAGGATACATGTGAATTGAAAAAAAAACCGAAAATTGCATCTGCACCCCACTTAAATCACCAGTACTTGGCCCAGCTACAGGCCTGGGAAAAAAATAGAGAAGAAACATTTCTAGTCGGATGAATTTGGGCGCTCCTGTAGTGACCCGTACATTTCCTAAAATTGTGGCTTGTTAATGGGCACGACTTTAGGAGGTACTGGTGGTTTAAAGATCGGAATATACCCCCGATACCCAGTCCCAGCGCCCAACTCGCATCTATACCCGGAACCCCGTTCAACTTCGCATAGTACACCAC